AGGCACCGCGTCGATAGTCCTTACAGGGTAGTCAAAATATGCTGGTAAATTTGTTTATGAGTAGCTCTCTGTTATGATCTCTCCTTAAGTCAGGCACAATTCAGACTTTTATTCATCGTCTTCCTGCCATCCTGGTGATAAGAAGCGTGCCGAGAGCATCCGCCAAGCCCGTTCCGTCTCCAGCGCCCAGCAGGAAAAAAAAAAGTATGATCCAGGAAATAAGGCCTCGTTTGAGTGGATGATTGGGTTTCACTCGGTGTCGACGGAGCACACACCCATTCTAGACTACCTCAAGGCTGCTAAGGTGGTCAGGAGGTATCTACTACTCCTTCTCCAGCTTCGTTCTGTATTACTTCAACATCCATTGCAGACCCCGTCTCCGTCGTCTTCTCTCTCCCTCTCATTTCTTCCTTATCTCCAGTCCGGCCGCTCCCCGCCTCCCGGCCAAGGATCTCGCTCTTTTCGTCCTGTATCAAAGGGGGAGCTAAGATTAATCCAAGAAACAACAGCGAAATAATTCCGGGGCTACGAGGCCAGCCACCAACTCACCATCACCCTTACACTCGTTCAGTATTGCAGTTTCTTCTCCCTCCCAATCAGCTCGTCCCAATTGCTCCTTTCGCATTCCTGGGGGCTCATCCCTTACCGCTGTCGCGATAAACCCACCCAACCCAAGGTCTTAGACTGAGATCCGCCTTTCCGCCCCAGAAAGCTTCGATCGGTTCCTGCGTGCTGGATGAGTACGAATATCTCCACCTCCTCCAATGCACAGACGCTCGTCTGGCTCTCCTGTCGAGGACGACGCTGAAGACTCGCCTCTGGTTTCACGATCCCCTACAGAATCAACAGCACATGCCTCTAACAATAATGCCTTCGAGACGGCCGAAAAGTCGCGCTCGCAGATAGCGAAAAGTGGTACGAGTTTCGATCTCCGACGAGACAACGGCGCCTCGACTCCTCGCTCCCGGAACTCAGGTCTGTGGAGGACGCCTTCGTCCTCGTCGACGACGACCATGGCCGCCGCGTCTACGGATACAAAATCCTCGTCGACATCCTTCCTGATGCCATTGGCTTCCCAGCGACTTCCCATGGAGGCTTCTCCTGAGAGTTCTCGGTTTCGGCCCTCCCGGCTTCGCAGCCCGTGGACTTGCTCGATATTGACGGCCCTCACGACGCTTGTCGCATCCGTGTTCCTCTTTTTTATCGTCCGCTCATTCTCGGCCCGTCAGGCAGGCGAAGATGGATGTGGGATACCCGTGATGAGCCCGACGTTTCTCCATATGGTGGGCTTCGATACCGAACATACGCGCTTCGCGAGCAAATACAATCTCTATCTTTACCGGGAGGAGGGTGTCGATTTTTACAATCATGAAAACTTAGGAGTATGTTATCCGCCTATGATCCGTCCGCTGCACTGCTAACGAGCCCAAAGTTGAACGGAGCTCCCGTTCTGTTCTTACCCGGAAATGCCGGTAGCTATAGACAAGTCCGATCACTTGCCGCCGAAGCATCGAGGCACTTTCACGATGTCGTCCGTCACGACCAGGAGCGCATCAAAGCCGGTACCCGAAGCTTGGATTTCTTCATGATCGACTTCAACGAGGATATGGCTGCGTTCCACGGCCAAACACTCCTTGACCAGGCGGAATACGTGAACGAGGCTATCGCATACATTCTCTCCCTCTACCACGACCCCAGGCGATCGCGAAGGGACCCCGAACTCCCCGATCCCAGCTCGGTGATTCTCATCGGACACTCGATGGGCGGCATTGTCGCCCGTACCGCATTGACCATGTCCAACTACCAGGCCAACTCGGTCAATACCATCGTCACCATGTCCGCGCCTCACGCCAAACCGCCCGTCTCCTTCGATTCGGACATCGTTCACACCTACAAGCAAATCAATGATTACTGGCGGGAAGCATACTCGCAGACGTGGGCTAACAACAACCCTCTGTGGCATGTGACCCTCATCTCCATCGCTGGTGGCTCGCGCGACACCGTTGTGCCGTCCGACTACGCTAGTATCTCGTCTCTGGTCCCCGAGACTCACGGCTTCACCGTCTTCACCTCTAGCATTCCGGATGTCTGGATCGGTGTGGACCATCTATCTATTACGTGGTGCGACCAGTTCCGCAAGGCGATCATCAAGTCACTTTTTGATATTATAGATGTTCGGCGTGCAAGCCAAACTAAACCGAGGGCTGAGAGAATGCGGATCTTCAAGAAATGGTACCTTACAGGCTTAGAGTCTGTCGCCGAAAGAACTCTACCTCAGAAGGGTTGGTCCCCTGGTTAAACTTTTCTGTAGGCCTCATTTTGACTAACTGTTCTAGAACCAAACACACTTCTGACCCTAGAAGACCAAAGCAATTCGATCCTCCCGCAAGGCCAAAGACTCATCCTACGCGAATTGGGCCACCGCTCGGGTCCAAAGGTTTATCTCTTGCCCATACCTCCGCAAGGAGTATCAGGCAAGAAATTCACTCTTCTCACCGACCAAAAATTCGATAAAACCGGAGAGCATGGCAATCTGGAAGTTCTCTTCTGCAGCGTTTTCCCTCTTCAGAATGGCAAATTTGCAACTGTTTTCTCTATGAACATGGATTTTTCAGGGGGCAACACGGGTTCGACGCGTCTCGCTTGCAAGAATGCGGCTGAGGATGGTATTCACCTACCAGCATCGACACCAGCTTCCAAGTACCCCTTTGACCGGGTCCAGCCTTTTTCATATCTGCAGTATGATTTGGAGGATCTTTCAGAGCACCAATTCGTTGCGATTGTGGACAAAGCCGATAGTCCCACCAAAGGTTGGGTTCTGGCAGAATTCTCCGACAGTTCAGATGCTGTGATCAGGGTCCGTGGCGGCCTTGGTGGTCTGCTAAGTGCCGGGCTGAAAATGAGACTGCCCGCAAATCGTCCAATGCTCACCGAAATCAAAATTCCAGCTCTGCATTCCAGTTTGCTGGATTACAAACTCCAGATTGTGAGACACAATCATGACAAGCGACAGGAGCTCTTCGCTCCTCTACTGCGACAGTCGATATCCGACCCGCACGAGTCGAAATTTTTCGTCAATGTAGACAAGGTCGATGTGAACCTTCACGGAGTAGCGCCTTTCATGCCTCCACCCCTCCGCGAACAAGCAACTCTCGGCGGTCTCTCCTTTCAGCTGTGGACGGATCCCAGCTGTGGTTCCACCGTCGACGTTTCGCTCAAAGTGGACATTGCAGGCAGTCTGGGAGAGCTTGTGATGCGGTATCGGACCGTCTTTGCTGCATTTCCCCTGCTTGTTGTCGCTCTTGTCCTCCGCAAACAATTCCAGATGTATGACAAGACTGGCTATTTCATCACATTCGCCGAAGGTATGGACAGTGCTCTGCGGTCATCGTTCCCAATTCTGCTGCTTGCCATGTCCCTGCTGGCATCTTCTTTGGCCACACCGACGCGCCTCCCACCCAGCGACGAACCGTTCCAGTGGCGAGTTAATGCCACGGAAACCCCGATTGACTTTACCAAAAACGATTTGCTCTTGGGATCGCAGGATGCATTCTTCTGGTTCTTGGTACCTGTCTTTGGCTTGATCAGTGTCGGTGTCTGCGTTATTCTCAACTACGTCGCACTCATCCTTCTGTCTGTGCTCTCTTTCATCTATGGGTACCTGAAAAGCAAATCAGGCTACATTAAACGCAACGAGAAGGGGTAGGTTACGACACTCTTGTTTCTTACGAATCTCGCTGACTGAATTAGAACCCCCATCTTCAGCGCTCCGACTGCAAGACGCCGGATGATCCACACCGCCATTCTGTTGGTTCTTGTGTCAACCTTGATTCCCTATCAGTTCGCCTACATGGTGGCGTGCATTGTTCAGCTCGCAACATGTGTGCGGGCACAATGGCATGCCAAGGAAACGGTACGCATCATCCAATGTCTTCAATGATGAGGTAACTGACAATATGCACAGAGGTCCACTGCTCATTACAACTTCACTAATTATGCCCACTCGATCTTCATTCTCATGCTCTGGATCTTACCGATCAACATTCTCGTCCTCTTGGTCTGGGCTCACAATCTTGTTGTCCACTGGTTCATGCCATTCTCGTCACACCATAATGTCTTATCCATCATGCCTTTCATCCTCCTTGTGGAGACCATGACCAGCGGGGCCATGATCCCCAGAGTCACCACAAGGTATGCGCCATCATTTCCTCGCGTCAGTGTCAGCGACTAATCATCGCAGGTTAAAACATGTCACATCTATGATCCTCTTTGCCATTGCCGTCTACTCGGCAGTCTACGGCGTGTCATACGCCTACCTTCTCCATCACCTCGCTAATATCCTTGCCGCCTGGTTTGTCGTCATCTACTTCTTCAGCAGCGGCTTCTCCCTCCGACGACTTTGGTACATTCTCGAAGGCGAAGATGCCACACACGGCATGTCCGAGCCAGGCGGGAGCCACCAGAAAAAGAAGCCATGACGGAGCCACTGGGCCCGATATTGAACGTCTTAATTTATGTCCCCATATCTAATATTTTTCCTTCTCCTGTTCCATCTTTGTCATCTTCATTTGGCTGAAGGATCATTACGCATACCGGAGTTGAGTTTCATGCGTGTCGTTTCTGGAGCGGAGTTCTTCTTTCGTTGCTGTGCTCCCATTGCGTGATGGGATTTGACTGTACAGAGACATCATTGAGTCTACTTTGAGTTTGAGACTTTTTTTCTCAGACCGCTTGACCTCGACATCCCCATCCCTACCCCTCTGCCTTTGTGTCTGTTGCCGTTGACTGGTCACTGGTCACTGATATACGAGGTGCTGTATGTATGGCTATCTTCAATGGTGGTCTTTCTTTTTTTTTTTTTTTTTTTTTTCTTTGGAAATCTGGATATAGAGCGGTTTGTCTGAGGAAAGCGCATGTACACAAGTCACGACGATGATCGATAGACTAGCAGTGAAGGCGATCCAAGAAACAGGAATCATACATAATCATTCAACATTTCATTCGAGGTATCATTTATACTATACAATAGTGTCAATGGAGAAAAAGCTAGATCTCAACCGGCCCGACCCTCACAGCGCCCTGTCTTCTCAACTCCTCGACCTCCTCTTGCCTCCGCAACTCAGAGAGCCGCTCAGCCCTGCGCGCCGCGAACCGCTGCTTCCCACCGAACTTCAACTTAGTGATCAGATCCGCCGCCTGGCCCCTGGTAAGATGTTTCCTGTGGATCAACCCGTGCCGGACCTTCGATTTATTCAGGAAGCGCACCTGCGCCTCCGTCGCGGGGAGCTGTCGCCATGGCTGAAACACCGAGATGTATCTCTCCTCGAACTCGCTGGTTGCGAATGTATCTGCCGCGCGGAGGGCGGTCTCGAAGTCCGGGGCTGTGGCGATGAGTCGCGGACGGGTATGCGTGACGCTGTCATCGGAGTTTTTGAATTTGGCAACGTGGCGGACGGTGAAGATGTAAGGGTCGTCGGGTGTGTTGGCGGTAGAGGTCGGGTCGGGGTTGGGTTGGGGTCTGTACGCTCGACCTGTGTCTTCTTCCTTGTCGATCGTGAGCCAGCCTGAGGCGTCCGAGAGGATGTAGCGGGCGTCGCCGACGCGGACCCAGACGTGTGGGCTTAGAGAGCGGATGTGTTTTTCGGATTTGAGGTCGGCGATGAGGTCGTAGATTGTGTCGTATTTTGTGAATGTTAGGTTGACGTCTGAGTCGTCCGGGGCGGCGGCGGTTCCTCTGTTCCTTCCTCGGCTGGGGTCCCTGTCCCGGTTGCGGTGCCTTCGAGTGGCACGTCTCTTAGATCTTTGGCTTTGGCTTTTTGGAGGACTTCGTCTGGGTGTAGGCCGAATAGGGTTGGTGTGGAGAGGACGCCGGTGTTGAGGGTTGCCACCATGTCGATGATGTGGCAGTCTTCCTTGCCGGGGTACAATCTGAGTCCCCGGCCGATCATCTGGATGAGTAGGTTCCGCGACCGGGTCGGTCTGGCAAGGAGGACGCAGTCGATGTTCGGGATGTCTGTCCCTTCTGTGAAGAGACCGCAGTTCAGCAGAACGGGATACTCTCGGTTTCTGAATGCGCGCAGCTGCTCCATCCGTACTTCTTTTGGGGTCTTTGCAGTGATGTACCGCGCATCGATGCCGTAGCTGCGGAAGGTCTCCGTAAGCGCTTTTGTGTGTGCGACATCTACGCAGAATACCAGCGTGGATTTGCGGTCTTGCGCGTTAGCGAGCCATGCACGCACGGTGATGTTATTGACATTCTCTGTGTTCACTGCCTTGGAAAGAGAGCCGATTGCAAAGTCCCCAAAGCTATCCTTTTTCACCTTGGACAAGTTTGCCTCGGAGCAGACCGTAGTAAAGACCGCATTGGCAAGCCAGTTGTCGTCGATCATGTCGATGTAATCTTTATGATATACAATGTGATCGATTGCAGCACCCAGTTTCAGTCCGTCGCTCCGAGAAAATGTAGCCGAGACGCCGACGAGAACTGGAGAATCCGCAGACGTTTCGTCCACTCCGAAATGCTTCAAAGCTTCTCGGTAGGAGGAAGCGACGATGTGGTGCGCTTCATCCACCAGCACCAGTTTAAACCGTTTCGGATTAAATTTTGCTAGTCTATTTCCTCGCGTCAGAGTCTGCACAGAAGCGACAATGATGTCCCCAGCTCCTGAGGCATGGCTATGGCCCATCTCAATCTCGACAGTTCGGTCAGGGTATGCGCGGCGGCAATGTTGGGCTGCTTGTTCCACAAGCTCTTTTCGATGCACAATAATCAAAGTCTTGTCGCCTATCTCATTGCGTGACGGGATGCGACCGATTAGCTCGGTGAAGATGACCTGCCAGCGTTGAGAGAAAGATCAGCCAATGTCCGAGCAATATGCAAACCGTCACACGAACCGTTTTGCCTGCACCAGTCGCAAGAGAGATACCCAAGCGCTTGTGACCCTCGTCCAAGTACTTTAACACAGATTGAATACATTCCTCCTGATAGTCTCGAAGGACTAACTTGGAAGATTCAAACGAGCGTGCAGGCTCTGTGGAAGGCTCTGTGGTCGGCCTTGAGTTGGTAGAGTTGAAACGGCCATATCGGTGAAATGCAAGTCGCCAGTGAGGTCGGTTAGCTCGAGTGATGATATCCAAAATGGGAATATGCCCCAATCTCCGTCGAAAAACGTTCATCTAGTTGCCATGAAGCAAAAGGATGTCAATAATGAGAGACACGGCCCTGTCTGTCACTGCTCGCCTCGTGGAGATAGTATGCTATCTACGAGGCAAACAGTGCAAACATTTCTTATCAGAAATCTTCCAGGCCGATAAGTACCTCGACGCAACATTTTTTTGGATTTTTGGATCTTGTTGCTATATGATATTTAGTCATTTAACTATGCAATTATAGCTTCTTCAGGCACCTTAGACCGTTGGGATGCGCCCATCATCTGCCCGAACCCAACGTCTTTGGCGTGCGTGCTTGAATCTCTCAAGACCCGACGATGAGCAGTTCAAGCGTTTACGAGCCAGATGATGACGAAGAAGCGTCTGATTCCGATATCGACTCCAGATACTCAAGCACAAAATTCTCAGCCTCGTCTCCTCCAATAGACGACTTTGAAGGCCTCGGTCCGACAGAGCCCGAAGGCGAAACCACTCCGGAGGTAATACCGAGGGCAACAAGAGGGACACGGGCTCAGATACTGGATACTCTACGCACATCACTCGGAATAAGATGTGTGGATGCGTACTCCGCTGAATTTGCAGAAGCAGCGAGCAATTCTGTGCCTTCCACTGTCAGCAGCGAAAATTACAATCCCACTCAAAATGGCGTCGCGATTTGGACTTCGCAAGAGAAGGAGATTCTGTTCAGCATGCTCGACAGAAAAGGGAAAAATGGCATCGCGGAAATTGCGCAAGCGATTGGCTCAAAATCGGAGTTAGAAGTTCAGGAGCATTTGAAGCTCCTACACAGAGGACTGGAACGGCAACACGTCCGAGATTCCCACAGCAGGACCATCGTCCTCGGCGAAGTTCCAGCAGCACTGGAGATTAGTCAAGAATGTTGCAAGGCACTTGACGATTATGCCGAACTATTATCTCTTGAAGAACAGCGGGCTGAAGATGTTGTTGGAAGAAAGTTACATCAGAACGTGTGGATTGTCGATCGAGAAATCGCAGAAATGGTAGAGGAACAGTTGGAGGAACGAGACGAGACTCCTCTACCTGGCTCAAGCGTCTATGTCACTGCCGAGCTTTTCAACATCAATAAGTGGATCAGACTGTCTGAAAGGTTCTTCATGAACGCTGGTGGTCCAAGGCTAGAGGACAATTGGGTCAATGTCGCCTGCGCTGATGAGACACCTTCCATTACGGCTGACGCTCTTGCGGACTTCTACGCTCTGGCCGTAAGCGTGACTCGCCGTCTCGTACATTCTACCCTGTTCTTCGCCATGTCACGACTGCGGAATATGAGGGAAACCGGAAACCGCAAAGCACGAATAGTGAGATCGCGTGATGTGAAGACTGCACTGAATGTGCTCAACATGCCTCAGGATCGCTTCGACTTTTGGGTTGGGTTAGCGCGGAGGTGCAGCTTGCAAGTTGCAGACCTCCGCCACAAGAAAGGATGGCAGTCGGAGCTTATGGATTACGACGAAGTGGAAGATATTCTTTCCGGGAAGGTTCCAGTCGACGAGTCCCTTAATGCAAGAAGCGCTTCCAGGCGAAGATCTGAGAGCCGCGCTCCGCACCACACAGTTGAAGAAGATGATGACGAATCTGACGTCTATTCCTACGCTTCATCCATATTGTCATCGCCTGAGATGACACCTATCGATGAGCCGTCGGTTAATCTCGAAGAGGAACACGCAGAAGAGATCGACCAGCTGAACAATGCCTCAGAAGAAATGCGGCTTTGGAACTTGATGGGCCAGCCAGCCTCATCTGGAATTTCGTCGTTGGCCTCCGGCACGGAGCAAGGCTCAAAGTTGCGCAAGCCGATTGGCGAGCGCAAGACGAAAGAAGACCTGGTCAGTTGGCGCGACCGGACTCTGTACCGAAGCGACTGGGAGGAATACGGGCACGAGGTGCACGATCTCTACGAAGACTTGTCAGAGAATAGACGGAAAAGGAGACGTATTGAAAGACACATGGTTACGGGAGAATCACCCGTCTCAGTAGCCAGCGACAGAGATCATGAAATGGGTGGTAATGATGATTCGCAGGGTCCAAGGCATCACACTGTTAAGGACGAGCTGAGGGCCTATGATGACCGAGACAGCGGTGGTGCAACACAAATCGACGAAAGCAATGATGCAATGGACATTGAAGGCTCCATCCAGGAGGAGTCGGGTTCTGCAGGCAGCGGAGACTCGAAGATGGATATGGAGACAGATCCTCGCCATCAAGGTCCAAGTCAGGATTTCAACCAGAAGGGGTTGGAGTACGGTTCAAATGGAGAACCGGCTCCTGACTCCGAGTTGAGCGATGGGGAACGAAATCATCCTCCTTCCTCTCGGGAACCTGAAGTCGAGGCCACTGCGTCCGAGCAACAAGATTCAGTCCTGACCAGGAAAGGGGAGGCAATTGCTGCTGATACAGGCGAACAGTCCGATATTGAAGACGCGTACGACTCTGGTTCTGATGCGACTTCTGCAGCAGAGAGCGGCTCTGATCAAAAACAACATGGCTCCCCACGAAACCAAGGGGGTGTGCCTGTGATTGAAATTGCTGGACCGAGTATCAAACACGAGAACTTACACCTTAACCGTGATAGCGACTGGGAGCCCGAGCAGGCGCCCCTTTCTAATCCCGAGTCCGACGAGGGTAGCGACCTCGACCAGAAACCTTCCGTACGGTCTCAAATCGAATCTAGAAACGAAAGAATACATGCTATTGAGGACACAGTGCCCGTTGTCAAAGAGGAGAACGTCAAATTTAGCCAGAGCCAAGATTCCGAGTCGGAGTATGAGACCGATTCTCAAGTTGAATCAGGCGAGGAGGGCAAACCAAGACCACATCTTCGGGCTCCCTCACGACCAGCAATCAGACCTGAGCATCAACTGGGAGGCACTGATTCGGACTCATACCTTGATTCCGATGACTCCGACAGCGACGATGACTCGTCGACCCGTCCCCAGCGAGGAGTCAAGCTCGAACCGAACAGAGAAAGCAGCCAAGCCGACGTGGCGCACCGGCGGTCTGCATCAGAGCCAGGTTTAGATTCAGAGTCGGGCTCAAGTTTCGATGATGATACGAAAGATAAAAATGAACGATATAAGAACGAAAATGAAGACGATGTGTCTTCCGGCTCGGATGACGATCTCCCGTACGATCGACACCAGAAGCGAGAGGTAAGATACTCATCATCGGAAGACGAGGACGAGAAGAATAATCTGCCTCTCCATTCTCAGCCCATGAGCCCGGTTGTTTGAGGAGCAGAATATATTGGTTGACGTGGACACGGCCGGGTTTTGGTTACTGGTCACTATGAAGTTACGTAGCCGATATATTATTGGCTTATCCATTGATCTGATACCCCAGACTTATACAGCAACTATGCTGTCAGTATATAGAAATTCTATGACGAAATATCAGCAAGGACTATTCAACCAATGGCCGCATTGGAGGTCGGCAGGTGTCAACCGCCAGAATCGATTATCATAGCGTAGGAGAAAGAACAAGAGATTTGTTACTATATCGGATTAATTGACGCGGACAGTATAACTCTCAAACTCCAAAACATCGTGCGCCTTTTCCTAGCTGGATGAACACAAACTGTAAACATGTCAAAGCGTTGCAAAAACCCATCCACCAGCTGAGACATCCTCTACCGAACCCGCGTCCAGAGATGGAGGAATAGTTGGAACATCCCTAGGTACGTCCTGCTTTCCCCTTAATCCGCCTTGATGATATTGTACAATAATTGCAAATTATAAATGAGTAACCCACTCAATGTCCCATATCATCAGAAGAATATGTGGTATTGCGTCTTCTCGCTGTTTCGGACACGTCCAATTTCATGCGAGTATTTTCTTTATGAAGAAGTTGTCATACGATCACAGATCAAGTGTTTTGTAGTCAGCGCCCGCCTCTGCACTCAAGGGCTGTACACCATCCCTCGCATCGCCACCTGCCGGTTGAAAGTTGTAACGATTGCCAATGCCTGCTGTGGCAGCATCTCCGATGAGATTAGCCGTCTCCTCAGTGAGTCCCTTTAGGCTGATAGCTTGGAGAGAGTCTTGAACTTCCTTTACTCTCCGCTTGAAGGCCATGCGGTCCAGGAAGAGCTGCTGGCGAGCGAGTTCCAACTCCCGGCGTTCAGCTTCGATGATCTCTTCCATCTCATTGAATTGTTGCAGCTTAATTTCGAATTTCTGAAGCGTCACGTTGACAGCGGCAGAGACGAGGCGAGTCATCTCTCGTTCCTCATGCGAGGCGAGGGCCGCAGCACGTGCTGCGGAGGTTCCGAGCGCAACCGTTGCGAGAGACGCCTTGCGCTGCTTCTCGCCTTCTCCCGACTCTGCAACATCAGCAGCTGCCTCTTCACGAGAGGTATCTACGTCCATCGAATCTTCATTCTTGACGCCTGCGCCCTCCTTCTCTTTGCCCTTATCCGACGGCTTGCCGGAGCCGGTGTCCTTGTCCAGCTGCTTCCTTAGTTCTTTGCGAATTTCTTCCACTGAGCGTCCTGCTGCGGCGGCGGCCACAGCCGGTTCGGCCATTTGCGCCAGGAAAGCGACCACGGACAAGACCGGGTTCTCGACATGGTTGATGGGGTCTCGCCCACTCGCCGCACGCATCTCCGGCATGTCTTCGACATATTTATCTTCAATTTCAAGTTGCAAGAACTTCATCACACATTCTTCTTTGGTCCTTGTGCCGACATGATTGGCAATCTGCTCCCAGTTGTCGTCGAAACTCTCTAGGCCTTCGAGAAGAAGTATCAGCTCCGAATCGGACCAAGGAGCATCCTTATCCGGTGCAATTGTGTACTCGTTATCTTCGAGCTTGACGAAGTCGGAGGCGTTGTGACTAGCAGGCATTCTGCCTTGTAGGAAACAGTTCGGGCAAAGATCGTACTTGGAGTCTGGCGCATTTGCGTTCGTGGTTGTTGGCGCTGCCTTGGCGTAATGGAATCTGAGTCGAGTGCAGTCGATGCCACAAGAAAAGCAATGGAACTTCTTTCTAGGCTCTCGGACCGCGCTTTCCATAGCCTTGGATGCGTCCGCAGCTGTACCGTTGGCGGCTGACCCCTCTCCGTTGGTCTGCTTTTCCTTATCTTCAGCAGCTGGTGTAATTTCCTTGCCCTTATCATCGTAGATGTTGCGGCGAATTTCAAGATTGAGATCGGCTTTGGATGCGGGAGTAGCGGAGGCAGCCCGGTCAGTGGCAGGGTGGGGCTTTCCGGCTTTGACAACATGCTGAGGACCAGGCTGGAAAGGCTGAAGACCTCGGGGTGTATCGGCGATCACGCGGAAATGTCCAGTGAAGGGAGGACCAATGTTCGATGGCCGTGTTTGAGGGTCAACCTTACAGGAGATCACTTTAGCTTCGGGAATGAAGTTATAGACAATACATGTAGACTTACCTGATAGTTGATCAAGCCCCATTGCTCGAGGAATGAATGAACTCGCATGATAGCGCATACATCTCCTGCCAAGTTGCGACGGCAAGCAGTGACTGTGAGATACTCGATGGGGTTCAATCGATACGTGTTGATCATGAAATCGCGATAGTCTTTGTAGACCGCCGGCGTCTTACTCCGGTTACGACCGTTGAAGAACTCCGCCAACGCTTTCTTTTCTATCGGATGAATTGTATGCATGTCGAACCACGTCGAATAGCTGGGAAGGATGATGGCGTGTGTTTGCGAGACGAGATGTGAGCGTGCCGAAGCTTCAAGCGCTGACTTTCCCTGCACTGTTTGTTCTTCCGATGCACCCTCAGCAGACGGCTGAGCACTCGTAGCGCCGGCTCCGTCGCCTCCCTCGGACTCCTTCTTCGTCTCTGGCTCGGTGCCGCCCATCTCTTCATCTTCAGGCTCACCCTCATTCTGGGGCTTGGGAGAGGCGGGAGCATCTAGTGGATTATCAGTGCCCGGAACGTCTTCGGTTTTCTTCACAGGAGATTCGCTGCGTGATTGCGACCCTAGGCGGTTGCAGCAGTTGGCGAATCTAGTGTCTTCTTTCTCAGGGGTGAAGTGGAGGCAAAACCTACCAGATGCATTGGCCAGTTCGGCCGGGGTATCTTGCGGCGCAACTGCCGTGTTAACATTGTCGGCAGCGCCGCCAGTAGTAGCAGAGTGTTCCTCCATTCTATTTGACTGGGATGGCCGCTGAAAGTTGGGGGTCGCAAATGATGTCCAACAAGGCTCGTTGCCGGTCTTAGGTCACTTCACTGGGGAAGACAGGGCGCAGCTGCAACCCTTGATTGGGATTAAGGCTTCAAAAAACAGAGCGACAAGTCTCCCGAATAAAAGAAAAAGGAATGGAAAGAGACTTCAAGCGAAGGATGTTAGTGGGTTTGATGATGGATGGGATAACTGCATCTAGGATCGCAGTGTAGTTACCTCAAGTCGCGACACGGCCAAAAACTCGCGCCAAGAGCCTCACGTGAATTAGCCTTCTTAGGACTAGCGCATATATCGATTCCCTACAGAACGCTACTACCTTAACTCTACTACGTCTACTTTGTGTTTTAATTTCATATCAGAGAGCAGCAATGCTGTAGAACGGGTTTCTAAAGAAAAAGATTCGGTGTGCGACTATGATACTTTTTCAGACTCAGTTGTTCTTAGACGTAGTTCAATTCGTGTATCCAAATACTGCGAAATCAATTCAAGTCCTTTAAATGTCATGCCGCCCAGGAACCCAGGTCCTTGAACCCAGTCATATTCCTTACTTTTCCTGTGCGGCCTTGGCTGCCTCTTGGATTTTGAAAGCCTTGGAAATAGCAGGCAGGGCATGAAGTCTCTTCAGCCACGCGTCGAGGTTTGGGAAGTCCTTCTCAAGATCGATTGTGTCCCCGGTGATTGCTGGAATAATCCGGACCAAGGAACGAATGCAGCATCGACATAGCTGAATTTATCCCCGACCAAGTACTCGCGGTTTTGAAGGTACTTGTTTAGGACGCCGCAGACACGGCGGATTTCGTTGTTGTAGCGCTCCTTCGCGCTGTCCACCTTTTCCGGATGGTGAATGGTAAACCACACTGCTTGACCAAAGTATGGCCCCTGGCCGGACATTTGGAAATGGAGCCACTGCTTAGCAAGGAAGTACTCTGGAGTGCCGGCGCGAAAACTGATGGTGTTCTGCTTGTCGTACGTTTCGACTAAGTATTCGAGGATGGCGCCGGATTCCCATAAGGATATTCCCGTATTGGGGTCTTCGATCGCTGGGACCCGGCCATTGGGGTTTATGTTCACGAATGGCTCCTTCTTCATCTGGTCCATTGGGACGTATTTCTGCTCATATGGAATACCCAGGTGTTCCAAAATGGAAACAACCTTCCAAGGGTTAGGGCCGGCAACATGGCTCCAAAGGACGATAGGCTTCAGAGACATCTTGTAGTTTGCTGAAGGGTAATAGAGAGACGACTCAGGGATTGATCAGTGGAAGATCCTTTCTCAACGAGCTTTGGGTCTGATTCCCATCACAGAAGAACCAGACAAGGGCAGAGATGGCCTCCATATTTATAGTCTTACCACTCGCAAAGTCGTCATGATTTCGCAGGCACCTCACATTGAGCATGCCGGCAGTGCTTGGCTGCGACAGCTCAATCTGTTTGAAGCTACCCTCTGAACATCACCTCCCTGTAGAGTAAATTAGTAAGCTCTCGAGCCCAAGCGGGGTGAATATATTCCATGCTGACAAATTGACCATCCTCATAACTAGTAGCTGGGATTGTTCTCCTTGAATCAATTCGTCAGGACTCGTCCAATCTTGGATGCCGACAGGACGCTTAACCGATGTGATGGGAAGGATACTCAAGATGGATTATCTAGGATTATCAATCAAGGCATCCTTGGCGGGTATCGAAGTACATGGAATCGTGCTTTCTCATTCAAGCACAAGGGTATGCTTGAAGACCGTAGTCCCATCTACGGGAACGATATAGCAAGAACGGTAAGACATCTCGAAGGTCTTGGAACTCAAGGTTGTGGCGATGATTGCGCATCTAGAGGAATCATGCTCGGTTTGTTCTTGGCGTATCGCTTGACCCCGTTGTGGGGTATCCGCAAGTTGTTAGACGGGGCATGTCATTGATATTGGCCTTCTCCGCTCGATGAAGCAAGAACATCCATCTGTTTGGACATTCTTGTAGTTGTAGACCTTGATCACACAGCATGAACCGTCATGCCTTCTAGCGTAAATGCTGACAGCTAGCCCGGCGACAGATGACAATCGAGGACTACCGAGGGAGGCCGATAAAATGATTAGCAATCAAATTATTCAGTACGCGAATAGTAATATCAAAAACAAGGCTCTACTGCCTTCGGAATAGGAGCAGATGCATACAAACTTGCGATCAGAATTCTCCGAGTACTTCCGTAGACCAGATGATTGAGGGTATCATGGACATGACCTCGCACTCAAAGAGTGCCACGGAGGATGAATATCACTTCCAGCCGTCGAGGAAAAATTTTTACCAGGATACTGAAGCTATTCAATGTTCTAGTGGCGTCTAGTCCTTTTGATATGCGCGAAGTGCAACGTGATGTTCTTTTCTTGTGATAAACGGACGTCATTGTTTCGGAGTAAACTTCGGAGCTTCGGAGTGGGTCCCTCATTGTCGGAATGCCCAAGCTCAAGGCTAAACAGACCCTGAACAGGCAACATATGGCCTAGACTGGGCTGACTGAGCAGATGAAACTGTTCAGCAGCTCTTGATGTCTTACTAAACAAGGTCATTGACAATTGAGGCGTTACGGACTGTCTCGAATGCGCGGCCCCAGTCTTCTTTACTCCGTCACGGCCACCCCGTGATCTCGACTTTGACTCATGCGCTTAATATTCCGAGTATCTAGACCGCAACGAGTACGCGCCAGCCAAAATCAGGACTGCTAAGCTTGATCGATGGGTCACAGGTGGATCCATTCTGTCCATCTTTGGATCGGATGATTCTGTCAGATGTTGCATTCGCCAGTCACGATCCCACATACTCCCATAGCTGCCTGAGGCTAGAACCCGATGGCTTACATATCTGTGACCAAAAGAGACTCCGGCAATGTTAGGCATATTGACAATTCATCGTGAGACTTCTACTATAACGACCGCCGTAGAATCCGACTCATGGAAGTACTTGGCGATCGAAAGTACGCGCATTACCAAAGTACGGAGTAAAAGGCGGAATGATCGATCTTTCTTTGCAGGTCCCTCGAGCAAAGCCTCAACGGTGGCTGACATGGGCCGACAGATCACGATCATCGTACTCCGTAGATGATTGGGCACTTCCATAATTATTAGGTGCCTGTAGGGCAGAATATCCGATGATGTCTTTGCGTCTGGTTCTAGGCTTGATGCACGTCGGTGGGTCCCGACTATTTTTTTTCTTACTCCGATATCACCGGAGTAGAGCATTTGATTCCGGAGTAAAATGTTTAGTATACAGCTTCACGCCGTCGAGTAAGTATATAAGGAATGTCGAGTATCGCCCTTCATTCGAAATTCATCACTCATCCAGATCAAGCTCACTTGAATACAATCAGTTCCTTGACAAAGCACAGAATCAAAACAATCCTCGCAACTCCATCGCAACAACATACCAGAACTATAAAAGACCACCACAAACCAAACAAAACATCTTCCGAACATCAGTCTCCGAAGTCCTCTCTGAAGACCAAGTCAAAATCACGTCAAAGACTTCTTCAAACAACAAATCACCACTCAAAACCAAAATGCCTTTCAGAACCTCCATGTCCTCCAACTCCTCCTCCGGCGACGCCGCCTCTACTCGCTCGGACTCCTCCAAAGCATCAACCCTAAAGGGTGTCCAAAACATGTACAAGAAGTTCCTCGCGACGAAGCACAAGGCCCACCCCCACGCCAGCTCTTCCCCATGCTCCGCTGCTGCTGAGCACAACGCGGCTGTCGCCAGCTATCTAGCTCTGCGGTGATTCCACTACTCGGAACTCGCTACTGCGCCGTCCATCCTGGTGACTGGATGGGCTTCTTCCGGAATGCGATACCCTCTCATTGCCTTGAAACGACGACCAGACACGACAAGTATGCTACGCCTTTTTTATCTTTTTTCGGGGCTTATTGGAATTTGTGATTTGAGGCGAATGGAGTCAGGGTTTTCAAGGACAAAAACACTAAATCAATGATCGATACCTCATTTGAGCACTTTGTATCCGCCTTGCGTTGTTTCGTTCTGTTCTGTTTGCATGTTGCTGTCGAGTTTGCTTACTATACTTAATAATTGCCCCAATGCATTAATAAAGCTTTGCCTGAATTTTTTTATAATACGTAATCAAGAGCGATTGCTTCTTGAAACAATGACTAGGCTTTCTCTGCCGTCTTCAATAAAGTTCGCTTCCCTAGACATGGAGTGCTAAGTGATATGCATAATCATAAGAAGGCTAGTATATACATAGAACCGGGACTGCCGCTATAGTCCCGCCATCAGCTCGTTCATGGAAATTGTTTTGCGCACAGCATTTGAAAACCCATCGTGGTACGTGATCCAGACTTTCCTTCCTGCTTTGGATGCTTCATTCTGCACTGGACTGCCATCCGAGCTCTGCGGCAGCGGCTCTGGCTCCTGGAGGATTCTGCCGAAGAAGTCACGCTTGATGCCCGGTGCGTTTCTTATTGCATTCTTCTTCGCTGACGGGCCATCATCATTCTTCCCACTCTTGCCGTTCGAGGTCTTCCCGGCCCTGGACGAACTAAGGGCTTCGGATTGTTTCCGCATAGTCTCCTTGCGGTATTCTTGGTCTAACACTTGACGAACGGCATATCGAACAGGAGCAGAGCCGCCTGTATCTGCTGAGGTACCTTTGGTCTTGTGGAATGTCACAAGCGAATCCAATGGCCTATGAGAAACTTGTTCAGCTTGGCCGGACAGCAGAAACACGAACAGGAAGTACTTACGGTTCCATACGATAAGCCCAACCCCCATGCCCACCACCTTCACCCTCAATTCGGATTTTCTCAAATACCACCCCTAAGCCTGCCATGACTCGAACCGCGGCCTGAACAAGTGCTCGTTCGCTTTCTTTGCGAACACTGGCCACGCTCTTCTGGTCCCCACTTCCACGCACCACAACTGGTTTCACATCAGGCGATAGCATGCGTATGAGATTTGGGATAAGTTCTGTCGTCAAGCAATCCGTTGAGCGGAATAATCGTAATAGAGGAGCCGAGAAAGAAGATTGGAACCCCGTAAGGATCGCGCGGCTCTGCTTTTGAGCTTCGAAGGCCGCAAAATCTGCTCTTGGACCCGAAAAGGGGTGCTCGTCCTCTTCGTCGTCATCGGGGTTCTTAGAGATCCTCTTGCCTCCGACGGATGAAAATAGATGGTGGAACGCTATAACTGACTGACTCAGATAGGGTGTGAGTTCCCATTCTTGGGAAGTAAAGACTTTCGAGGAGATAGTATCATGGAAGTGGAGCCAGTCGTATGCGGCGTTAGGCTTGGAGAGAAATGTGTCATCCTGATATGATTGAAGCGGATACGTAGCGAAACATTCAGATACACAGCGGTCATGATCGCCACTGGCATCAACCATTTCGCGCAGCTTATTGATGGCATGCCGTTTTCTAAGGTCCGCAACACCGAGAGGCACGTTCCCGCTAGAAATGGCGAACGGGTCATGGAATGATTCAGCATTTATGGGAGCGTCAGGGAAACCTCCACCTTCCAAAAAGACACGGTCCACAATGTCCCGTACACCTCCGCGACTCAGCCCTTTAAAGAATGAGGCTTCAGCCGTGCCACTGAGAACCCGTTGTTCGAGCCAGGTCCGTGTCAGCCTGAGAGACGACAGGTTTTCGTTTTTCAGCTTATGCGCCACCCACTCCGCGGCGACAAGCACACTTCGGATATCACCTTCGGCCGTCCCACTGCTTTTGAGGCCACCACTTTTCTTCCTCGCCAGACCCCACGACGCTTCGCATAGCCGCCGCACACCATCGTTGTCTGATGGAATACCCTCCAGAGCTAAGATGTTCTTTAAGCGTGAGACAACATTCTCAAACGGTGCTTGGCGGACATGAATGATCTCGGCAACAGAGGAGGCCCTCAAGGGGCGTAAGCTAGGGTGATACACATCGTTGCAAACCAATATCAGTGGGCGCAAGAACCGGAAAGTGTCGCCTTTACGTTTTTTCCCGTTCTTGGCATTCTGATCGGCTGAACCTGCCATGTTCTTCTGGTCGAGTAGAACGAGGTCAATTAGGGCCTTCATGAAGCCTCCTTCTCCACCGCTCCCAGACCCGCTAACGACTCCATCGACTTCGTCAACGACGACGCACACTGGTCGCCCAGCCTTTCGCACTTTGCGATCTCCCACCTCCACGTTCACTCCTTTCACGTTTTCAGTGCTAAGAGCATCTCGAATCCGCCCCTTGACGACGTCTTTGCTGCGGTCATCACTGGCATTGATCTCTAGTACCTCGTACCCCGCTTGTTTTGCGCAAACATGTGCCAATGTAGTTTTTCCGAGTCCTGGAGGACCACACAACAGTAGTACTTTACGTTGCAGCCGTTCGCCATCATCATTGTTGTTGCCCGGCTTTTTGGCTCTCGACTTGGCAAGATTTGGGAAGACGATTGGCTCCCAGCCCTTCAACCATCGCAAAACAGATCGATGGATTCGCTCATCGCCAATGAGTTCAGTGAACTTGCGAGCGCGATATTTCTCTGTCCACATCGCCGCCGCCATTTTCTTATTCCTTTGGCCCTCAAGAGGAGCCTCGACAGATTGCTGTATCGTACGGTCCAGCGCTTTTGTGGAAGCTTTAGCCTGTTCACTTTCTCTTGCAGCCTCATCCAATATTTGATGGATATCAATGCCATAGTAGCTTTTCTGCGCTCGTCCTGGTCCCGTAGTCGAGCGACTCGCAACTAGCCTCTCGTATGAAACTTGAGGCTGAGAAGTTTTCTGAGTGATTGTGTATGTCTTCCCAGAGCTAGTCTTTATTTTAACCAGTTGCGTTGTTCGTCGTGGCAAGTCATAAGTTAGCGCAATCGGATCGCTCACGCTCGTAGTAGAAGGCTCTGTGTGTATAGGTCTTGAGAGGATTTGTGGCAGGTCCACTGGCTCCTGCTCAATTAATTGCTCCTCCAGCTCAAATTGGCTCTTCATTTGAGCATCCTGAAATGCTGCCAGCTCATCCTCGTCTTCATCTTCTTCATCCAGGAAGCCGCCCATAATCTTCTGCCGCTTAGGCTCCATTGACTGTGACTGCTCATCATTCTTCCGCTTATGCGCCTCATTCGGAGAAGCAGCGCGCGATGCAACTGGGGATGAGATGAACGGCATCTTGGTGACGGGAGGAGAAGACGGTAAGTAAAAACTTGAGTTTATTTCAGGTATTTCATTCGGTTCGTGTAATGTCTTTCGCGCTCTTGTTGGAGTATCTGTTTCAATATCAGATTCCCAGCGGTCCTCCGCCTGCTCTTCAAAGCTGCATACCGGGTCTCACGTCCTCGTCACTTCGAAAAACTTCAGATAGATTCCAAGCCCGATGTCGTATAACAACCTTATTACGGATGTTCTCTAGTCGGTGGAGATTTAAGGCTTCGAGATCGTCGGAGAAAGTCTCTGAAAGAGGGTTCTGTTCTTCAGAGTGAAGGTGGATAGCGGGATCGAACGAAGGGAGAATTAATGGAGAAGAGGTCGTCATTAAGGTCAATTAGAGGGGCATATCAATTCGATGGCATTAAAAGTAACAAAACAAAAAAGAGGGTAGCTATCAGCTAACTCCCCATAGTTCGATGAGAAGTGGGATAAGACGACGCGTTTGAGACGCGCCAGCGGAGTACGCGCTTGGCCGCTTATCGTTGCTACTTTATTGCTGGCCACTCCGCATTTACTCCGTAGCACTCCGATAAGCTCCTCAACACCCCTAAGTTCACGAATCGCGATCAATTTAGCTTAATTGAATGTGTGATCACATTTCTCATGAATAAAGAAGGCTCTGAGACAGCTTGAGATAATATGTTGGGAGGAGACCACCCATCTAGCCTTTGCTACGTTCTGTCCACCAATTCATTAATGTACAGAGTAGCAAGAAGTCCTTACCATGTTTTGTACACGCCTCGTACGATTCAGGTGCACGTTGACTTAAGCAGCATAGGATGAATTGTTAAGACTAGGCTCCAAATCTATTTCCTAGCATTGGCGTTGCGTGGTATACAGTTATATAAACACCGCACCTGTAGAGGCTTGCATAAGGAAATGAATAACATGACAAGGCTGAATAAAAATCGTAAAAGGCACTTCCGCAATGAGATCTTTGTATTTACGCCTGGCTCTTCAGCTTCTCGGTAAGCTCTGGCACTTTCTCGAAAAGATCGCCAACAAGGCCGACATCAGCAACCTGGAAGATAGGAGCATCGGGATCCTTGTTGATAGCAGCAATGACCTTGCTGTCCTTCATACCAGCAAGATGCTGGATGGCACCGGAAATACCAGCACACAAGTAGAGCTGAGGCGCAACGTTCTTGCCTGTCTGGCCAACCTGGAGACTGTTGTCGGCGAATCCACTATCAACCGCAGCGCGGGAAGCACCAATTGCAGCTCCCAAGGCGTCGGCAAGAGGCACCATAATGCGGTCGAACTCCTCTTTCGATTTCAGGCCACGACCACCGGAAACAACACGAGAGGCAGTGGCCAGATCGGGGCGCTCGGATTTAGCAAGCTCTTCGGACACCCACTCGGTCTGAGCAGGAGCTTTGGGGTCTGCTCCCTCGACGATCTCGGCAGACCCGCCCTCGGTCTCAGTGCCCTGGAACGCAGTGCCTCTGACTGTGATCACCTTAATGGGATCGGTCGATTGAACGGTGAGGATGGCGTTTCCGGCGTAGATGGGACGGACGAAAGCTGCATGAACGGGTTAATATGCGGATGACTCACTCATCACGTAGTCCAACGAGATTCAATCCAGG